TGAAAATATTCTACCCAGAAAAAAAAATTTAGTAGTACAATATAAAAAGATAATATTAAATTCAAACTTAAGTATCCTTACAAATTTTAAGCATTAAAATTATTATTAAGGATATAATAGGGATAAAACATGGACACTCGTTTCTCGTCTAGGGACCCATCAAGACATTGCTTTTAAGACAAACTAGATTAGGTCACGGATAAAAGGTAATAATAAATGGGGTAAAACAGAGGTTAGGATTCTAATTACAGTTAAATATTGAGCTTACTTTCGCAAATAAATTCCATCAAACATTCATTTACAACTCTTATATTTAGAGATAGCAGATAGCACATATTGTACGGAGGAAAAATTTTGATGTTAACTAAATTTTTTATTAGATCTTTAGTTTGTTTTGTGTATTTTTTGCATTCGAAGAAAATGTGATTTAGATCCTCTTCTTTTTGACAGTCTGGACATAAATTTGAATTTACGATTTTTAGTTTGGACAGATGACTAGGATAGCAGGCGTGTCCAAATTTTATTCTAATTATGGATGTTATATACCTTCGTGGAACAGAATAATTTTTGAACCAATAATCACTTGGGATTGAAGGCTGTATAGAAGCATATTGCGAGGAAGAATGCGTACTATATATATGCCAAGATTGTTTCCATTTACTATTGATATTATTTTTAATTATTGTTAATGCGTCTTGTCTACAGATTTGGTGACTAGCTTGCGTTCCGGTATCAATGGCCTTTTTAGCTAATAGTCAACATGTTCGTTGTATTTAAGACCTATATGTGCTTTAACCCACAAAAAATGAACAACTCTTCGGTTTTTATAAATTTCCTAAACAAGTTTTTTAATTTGAAAGACATATTTGAGTCTTGGAATGAGGTGAAGGCCTTAGCGCAAAATAGAACCCGATGGCGCGTTTTCACTGAAGCTCTATGCTCCACTTAGGAGTTCAAGAACCTTATATATATATATATATATATATATATATATATATATATATATATATATATATATATATTTGAGTTATTACTAGGAAAATTTAAAGTTTCAATGGCTAACATAACAGACAATGAGTCAGGTACTATTGTAACAGATGTATTCTGAGTGTTTTCAAAGTATCTTAATGCTTCATATATTGCTACAGCTTCAGCAATAAAGATTGAAAAACTAGGATTTAATCGATAAAGTTTGTCAGTATTAGTTGATGGAATGTAGAAAGCACATCCAGTACCAACAATAGACTTTGAGGCATCCGTATAAATAACTAAAGAGTCTGACAGACTAGATAAACAGGACCTTAAAATATTCGAGCTAACAGAAGAATTTACATGGTAATTCGGTTGTATCACAGTAATGGGTTGCAAGCACGAATAAAAATGTTCGATGTTAAGATTATCCTCTGATTTAAAGTCGTAATCAAAATTTGTCAGGCTTCTAAAAGCCTCACAAAGTGGAGGTGAGTTCTTAAGTCTCCAATATCGATTAGTTAAATCTTCTTCGTTCAATTTTCTGATATTTGAGTAGAGAGTAGTGTTACGATTTTGTATATTAATAACAAACTTTTGACTGAGGTATTCTCTTCTATAGCCCAAGGGATTTTCCAGAGCTTCCACATGTAGAGCATTAATTGGCGTCGATTTCATGGCACCTAAACAAATACGCAATGCTGCGTTTTGAAACACATCTATTGTTTTCAGAATATGTTTACTTGCTGAACCATATAATATGCATCCATAATCGATAATTGATCTAATATAAGATCGGAAGAAAAGCAAAGAAGTTTCCACATCTGCACCCCACCATGTTTTTGTAATTGATTTGAGGAAATTTAGACCCTTATTACATCTATCCAACATAAACTCAACGTGAAGTTTCCAAGTTAACTTACGATCGAGAATCATTCCCAAATATTTAATCGAAGAACTGAAATTAAAATCATACCCATTCAATTTTACCTGATTTAGTTTTGGGATATTGTGTCGAGTGAAGATACTAATACTTGATTTACCTGATGCAATTTCAAACCCATTTAGTTTGAACCAATTTTTGGATCTATCATGTATTTTTTCTAAAGTTTGAATGCAGTTATCGTATTTTTTGGTAGAAGAATACATAAGGAAGTCATCAGCATACTGTATTATTTTAAAGTTGATATTTTTAATGAAAATGTTATGTAAATCTGCAGTATAGATATTAAACAATAGAGGGCTTAAAACTGATCCCTGCGGTAGTCCCTGTTTATTATAACGAGGACCTATAAGTTTATTATTGTTTGTTCTGCAGGAAATTTTTCTGCAGGAATAAAAGTTAAGAATAGTGTTTACCAATTGTGGTGGTATATGAAAATTTTTTTATTAATTTTTCTATTAAAATATCGAGACAAACACTATCATATGCTCCTTCTATATCTAATACTATTGTCGGTAAATAAATATTACTTGAGAAGGAGTTCTGAATGTCCGTTACCAATGTGGCAAGTGCATCTATGGTACCACAGCCTTTTCTATACCCAAACTGCAAATCTGGAAGTAACTTCTTTTTATCTATACACCATTCCAATATATGTTTAATCATCCGTTCCAAAGTTTTCAGTACACAAGACATAAGTGAGAGAGGTCTATATGAGTGAACGGAATTAGGATCTTTCCCTTGTTTGAGTATGGGGATAATGATTACATCTTGAAATTGAGCTATTACTGAATTATTCATGATTATATCATTGAATATTTCCAATAGTAAAGCATTGGGTTGGTCCAAATATCTTCCTTAGTATTTTGCGCTTAAATATTCTCAGTTGATTTTCATCAGTGGTTGAGAGGGTCCACGTTTCACATCCATATGTGACCATTGGCCTAATTACTGTTTTGTAGATTCTAAGCTTAGACTCACGATTCTATAACTTACTTTTCATTAGGTCTTTGTATACATAAAGGCACTTATTACTGCTAAGAATCCGTGCTTGTATTTCTTGACTGATGTTGTTGTTGTCATTTATTATTGAGGGAAAGTGGAGGCATATTTAAAGATATGGTTGTCTACCTTCAGATTCTTATGTTAATTCGATTTTGTGCACTCCATATATTTTGTTTTGCTTTCATTTATATATAGACCAAACGAAGCAGCTTCTCGTTTCAGTTCTCTAACTTTTTCGCTTAATATCCTTTTGTTGCGGCTTATTATGGCAACATTATCTGCATATGCGCATATTTGCATTGATCTTGTAATAATACAGCCATTTATATCCAGTTTTCTAACAACAGCTTCTAAAGTTAGATTAAAAAGTGTTGTTGATAAGGCATCACCTTGTCTAACTCTATTTTCAATATCAAAGGCCTGCGTCATATCTTCATCTATTCTCACCTTAGTTTTGGAATCCTTCAGAGTCACTCGTATAAGTTTAACCAACGTATTGGGTATCCCTAACATAGATAGTTGCTTTAACATCTTTTATCGATCTACTCCATCAAACGCCTATTTGAAATCGATATACAAGTTGTGAATAGGTATGTTATATCCAATACATTTTTCATGTATACCTATTAAAATATGTATTTGGTCTATAGTTGACCTCTTTGGCCTGAAGCCACATTGGTATTCACCAATTATCCCCTCTGAAAACGATTTCAGGCGGCTGATAATATCTTGTAGACGACATTTAAAACTGTTATCCCCTTATAATTTTTGCAGAGTCAATTGTCTCCCCTTTTGTACATAGGAAGTATGATTTCTACTTTACAATCTTCTGGGATGGCTTCTAGTGTCCATATGCGGTCGATTAGTTTATGGATATGTCTCCATAACGGATGTTATTAGTTCTGCAGTTATTCCATCTGTGCCGGATGCTTTTTTATTTTTTAGATGTTTTATGACGTTTATCGTTTCTTTCAATGTTGGTTGCTAAACTAGTTGTTCTGCTGTGTGGTGATTTATTTCTTCATCTTCGTTTTGTTCTTTTTCTGGGTTTAAATGCTCCTTCCACCTTTTCATTATTTCCTCTTTCTCGCTGATAATTGCCCCATTTTTGTCCTTGCAAACTGTTGATCTTGCCATGTATCCTAGGGTATTGGTTTCCTTGTAAAATTTTCTAGTCTATCTTCTGTTATTATAATCTGTAATTTCTTCTACATATTTTCTTTGCATCTTTTCTAAGTTATTCATGTGCCCTTCTGTTCAAGCGGGAATCCCTTTGTAGATATTTTTGTCTAAGTATATTTTTGCTATTTATTACTTGTTGGCAATTTTGGTCAAACAATGTTTCTTTAGCTTGAAGTTTCATCTTAAGTTTCCTTTGCCATATTGGAATTGTCGTTTGAATGACATTCCGTTCTTCTTTAATTTTGTTTTGATCTCCTTTTCATTTAATATTACTTTTATTTTCTGCTGGTACTCATTCTTCTTTTTAGGATTTTTAAACACATATGTGTTCAATATTCTTTATTTGGCGCCTTTCGTTTTCCTTGCCATTGATATTATTTGTTTTATCTTCGATATAACCAAGAAATGGTCCGAATCGCAATTTGCGCCTCTATAAGTTCTAACATCCGTTACGGAGGTTGCCCACTGCTTAAATATTAATATGTGATTAATTTGATTAAATTTATTAGTACAAGGTATCATCAAGGTTCCTTTATGAATATTATTATGAGGGAAATACGTACTAACAACTTTGTCTCTACGACAATGAAATAAATCGGAAAAAACTGCAATAATTGAAAATAAATGAGCATATCAAAAGTTTTTGCAAAATAAGGCAGAGGAAAACAAAGAGATATACAAGAAGAAGATTCCCTTAGAAAAGATTGCCAGTACGATGCTGGGACAGACAAAAAATGTCTAGTTCCTGAAATGGAAAAGAAAAGGACAGTTAATTAAGCATCATATTCTTAAATCTAAGAATCTACTTTTTTGTCAATGTTAATATTATCGTTAATTTCTACGTCATAATATTTTTAATAATGTGTAACATAATATTTAAACTAATATTTTGTGTTTTCAGATGGCAAATGCTTAGCTTGCACGTATCGTGCGAAATTTATAGAAATCTCTGTGGGCATCAACCACAACGTAGACGAGCTCTTGGTAGGAATATTGACACAAATCAGACTGAAAGTGCACAATTTCGACGAAAGCGGGCATACACAACAATGGTACAAAAGCAGAGGGATGGTCAAAGCCAGCATGAAGGCCCGCCAAATGTTTACGTGGTTATTCGGAAGAGAAGATTCCAAGTTTAAAAACTGCGAGAATCTTCACATTCTGTAGCGGAGTAAATCAGTGGGAATTGAATCACAAATTAATGTGTAGGCTCTCTTTTTCTTCCCGTAAAACAATTGAGTTATGAGTACTTATATTCTTCCTATTTTATAAGATTTCAAATAAAATTTATATGCCATTCAGGTGTATTTGAGAGTGTAAAAAATTAGACAAAGCAGTGATAATTATTAAAGTAACATGTTTATATCATATATCACTAAATGTTTACTAAACGTTTTAGGTACTATATATTTATTTTCTTTGTAACTGTATCATGTTATTATGATTATTAAGAGGCTACATTTTTTTAACAAACAATTAAAATAGATCCGAGCAAATATTAGATATTACCTATTATTATAATAAAGTACTAAGGTTTAGACTTTTTGGTTTTGATTAGAAATATTATTTGTATTGTATTTTTGTAAGTAGAATTTTGATATTTTAATGAAACATTAAAATAAACCTTTTTCTTCACTTTAAGGATTAGGCTTACTCCGTCTTCAGAATTGCCATCTTCTTTCGGGTCGTCCCAGGTCTTTTCTTTAATGATAAGTCTGTTTGAATTTCTGGTTTGATTTGCTTTAATATATTTTTTTTTTCTTATTCTAGTGAATTTGACTCTAATTTTTCAGTCCTTTGGGTAAGGGTTTATTATAGTTAATAGATCTTTGCCCTCTGTTGCTTCTTCTGTATATATTTTGGAGATACACAACGGCGTAAGAATGCAGAAGGCAACGGGAAACCACTGCATTAAAGACTCTTGGAGTATCCCTAGAAATCGTCATGGCTAATAAAAATGACAATCAACAACCTACTAATCATGGTTCTCGGATGCCAAGATTCGGCAGGGGAAGAAACAGCAGTAACGACAGGGCTTCCCAGGCCGTTAGTCAGCGAAATCCCTGTTCACTAAATATATACAAATCTACTTACAAAATAGCTACATGGAATGTAAGAAGTATGTATGAACCTGGGAAACTAAGAAATATACAGCAAGAGATGATGCGACTAGAGATCGATATATTAGGAATAAGCGATACAAGATGGGTCGGCTCTGGCGAAATCAATGCAGACAATGGACGAATTTATTACTCTGGAAGCGGCGATACCCAACACAGATATGGAGTTGCTATGATCCTCACTGAAAAACTAACGAGATCAGTAACAGGCTTCGTTCCGATATCTGAAAGAATTATAATGGTGCAATTATTGACAACCCATGGAAAAATGAATTTAATTCAGATTTATGCACCAACTGCTGACAAAAATGAAGAATAAATAGAAAACTTTTATAGCGAACTTCAAAAAACATTACATCTCACAGCATCTAGAGACGTAACAGTGATCATGGGTGATTTCAACGCAAAAATTGGCGAGGGAAAATGCTACCCTAATGTAGGACCATATGAGCTTGGGGAACGAAACGACAGAGGGGATCGCCTAATAGAATTTTGCCAGGAGCACAATGTTATAGCCGCAAATACATTCTTCAAATTACCTAAGCGACGCCTTTATACATAGAAATCGCCAGCTGACAAAGACAACAAAATCGTCAGAAATCAAATTGATTACTTCCTAATAAAACACAGATATCGAAACTCAATTCAGGCAGTAAAGGCATATCCAGGAGCGGACGTATCTTCTGATCATAGTCTTCTTATTGCTAGATTTCAACTTCAACTAAAAAAGACACAAAAAAGCCGCAATAACAATAAACTTAACATACAGAAACTAAAGTCAGAAGAAACAAAAGAAAATCTGAAACACGAAATCAACACAAATCTAGACAGAAACCCAGGAAATAACTGCAACGTAGAGCAGCAGTGGCAATTCTTCAAAACCTCTATATTGGAGCCAAGTAAGAAACTACTTACAACAACTAAATATAAGACAGAAGAATGGATGACAGAGGAAATTCTAGAGTTGATGAATGAAAGGAGAAAAAACAAAACCATCAATAAGACGCGCTATAAACAGCTTCAAAACCAAATAAGAAGAAAAATTAGGGAGGCTAAAGAGACCTACTTCTCTGAAAAATGTAAAGAAATAGAAGAACTTCAAAACAGATATGACAACTTCAACCTACATAAAAAAAGTCAAAGAACTAGCCGGAGTAGGAAATAGAAGAACCTCAAATATATTGCTCGACAAAAATGGAAATATTATATTGGAAACAGAACAAAAACTACGACGATGGAAAGAGTACATCGAAGAATTATTTCATGACCAGAGAGAAGCTAGTACATCTGTAGATAGCCAAACGGGAGATGTAGGTCCAGAGATAACCAAATCAGAGGTTAGTCAGGCATTAAACTCAATGAAAACCAATAAATCTGCTGGTCCAGATGAATTACCAAGCGAGCTACTAAAGTTGGTCAACGAGAAAAACCTGGACATAATAGTAGAACTATTCAACGCTATCTATACTACGGGAATCATTCCTAGAGAAATGTTGACATCAGCATTTGTGTGTTTGCCAAAGAAGATGAATGCCAAAGAGTGTAGTGACTATCGAACCATAAGCTTAATGTCACATACCTTGAAAATTCTCTTGAAAATTATCCACGCCAGAATACACTCTAAACTGGAGCTGGATATTAGTGACACTCAATATGGGTTCCGCAATGGTATGGGTACCAGAGAGGCATTATTCTCCTTCAATGTGCTGACACAGAGATGTTTGGATGTTAACCGTCCTCTTTACGTCTGTTTTATAGACTACAATAAAGCGTTTGATAAAGTAAAACATGATCGACTCCTGGAAATTCTAAAAAATAAAAACCTAGATGAAAGAGATTTAAGGCTAATAACACACCTCTATTACAATCAGCGAGCAATAGTAAGAATCGAAAAAGAAACATCTGAAGAAATGGAAATAAAGAGAGGAGTCAGGCAAGGCTGCATTCTATCACCTCTATTATTTAACGCCTATTCTGAAGAGGTAATTCGAGAAACTCTGGAAGATGAAACAGTCGGCATAAGAGTAAATGGAGTCTTAATTAACAACATCAGATATGCAGATGATACAGTAATAATAGCCGATAGTTTACAAGACCTGGAAAGACTCATGAACAAAATAGTCATGTGTAGTAGGGAGTACGGACTCTCTCTTAATGTCAAAAAGACGAAGTTTATGAAAATTTGTAAAAAACAACTATAATACTAACGAAATCTTGATAGTAGAGGGCCAGCAGATCGAAAGAGTAAAAAAGTACACTTACCTAGGAACACTTATAACAGAAAATAATGACTACACGGCAGAAATCAAAGTCAGAATCGAAAAAGCACGTTCTAATTTTATAAAAATGAAAAAGGTCCTATGTGGCAAAGATCTAACATTAGCTCTTAAAGTACGCCTAACAAAATGTTACGTGTACAGTGTACTATATTATGGAGTGGAATCATGGACGTTAAATCTAGATACCATGAGACGACTTAACGCCTTTGAGATGTGGACCTATAGAAGAATTATGAGGGTTTCCTGGGTAGATAGAGTTACAAACAATGAAATACTGAGAAGAATAGGCAAAGAGAAGGAAATTGAACTTACAATTAAAGAAAAAAAGCTACAGTATCTCGGACATGTGATGCGGAACGATAAGTATGGCATCATGCGACTCATAATGCAAGGAAAAATAGATGGCAGAAGAAGCATCGGAAGAAGACGAATTTCATGGCTGAAGAACCTGAGAGAATGGTTTGGATGCAGCTCAAAACAACTATTTAGAGCTACTGCCTCAAAAATTAAGATAGCTATGATGATTGCCAACCTCCGTAGCGGAGATGGCACCTGAAGAAGAAGAACGGCTCTGGTGAGCCCTCAAAGTTTTCAAAAAAGTTTAATAACTGTTCGTAAGTTAGTATAATTGGAGTTTGGTTTATCTCAAATAATATTTTAGTGTAATTTAGCATTTTTTTATCGATTTTTCTTTAGTGTAGTAGCTGATGGAGAGATTTGGGATATTGTGCGTTTGTTGTGTGTTTTGTCTCTGTTAATTCGCTGTGTATTATTTTCTAGAAGAATTTTTAGATCGTTTGTTGTTTGTGAATCTTCTTTGGTTGGGTGTACTTGTGGTTTTTGCTGTTAAGTAGTTACTGGTTAGGTTTTTTGTTGTATAATATCTTTTCTTGATTGTTGTTATTGAGTATTTTTGATATTTTTGAATTGGTAGATTAGTTTTGTATTTAATTAGGTCTATGGTTGAAAATGAATTATCTGTTGTAATTGCAGTAGACATTAGGTAGTTTTTTGTTAACTGGTTGGTATGTTGTTTCCTCGTGTTTGATAAGGAATGAATCAGGTAGGGTCTGGTTATTTAGTGGAAATTTCAGGATTAACTGTGTGCCATAAAGCGTCATGGCTTCATCATTTATGTAAAGAAACACGTGAAGAAATTAAACATAATTTATATTTTCAGTAGCTCTATGTTATTTCACTTGATAAATGTTAATATATTAGTACATAAATTCCAAACATTTCAAAGGGACTTTTATTATTAAACAGTATTTTTTCTTGTATCAATTCTTTCTTCTTTCATGTAATCTTCAAAGTTATAATCTTCAAAGTTTACAGTAATTGTTATAAATTAGTGAGTGATAAAAGAAACTCAACTTTGTTTAACTGATGCATTGCTTTGTCGATTTTTTTACAGATTACTAAGAAATAAAAATGGTTTAATGTTTTATAGTTAATTCTTTTTACTTTTTGACTAAATATTTTTTCTTCGGTAAATCCTATATTTATAACTAGATCATTATAACTTTCTAAAAATAATTAAAAAGAAACATATCTGGATATGTTAAATATGTGTCCAATTTTCATTATTTTAATATATTGTAAGTTGTAAATACCAAAATCAATGGATTCAGTTATAAAATATCTTAACGAAAAAATAAAAATGTATAAAGGTGGCATATAACTTTTTACCGACTCTAAAATACTTCTACAATCTACCTACTTTATATATTAAGGCCTAAAGAGTCTATCAAACAACTGATATATTTTT